AAATATTGCTGGTGGAACGACGGAACAATCTTGTTCAGATATCATTTCTTGCAATATACTAAACATTTATATTTGAATAATCTTTCCAACCTTGCGAGTGTGAAAAGTTTTGATTTTTTAAATATTATTGAGTCTAAATGGATGGCGCATACTTTTTTTTTTATTTAAATTTAGTTTAATTAGGTTGCATATGTTGCATGCAACTAAAGGTACTCTTAGAGAAGAATCTTTACACTACCAATTTAGAAAGGTTAATCCATTAAATTATCTGCAATTTAGTACGAAACCCTTCATTGCACAACGCCATACTCGAATAAGTGGTTCGAGGGAAGGGTTGGAGATAAATCTTTGGGGGTCAAACAAATTTTTTCCACAAGAAAACAAGAACTCAAAAGCTTTATTTTCAGTGGGTGTCAGTCATTTTACAAGAAAGAGGCTAACCCGAATACAGCCTAAACTTTGATGCTGACAAGTGACAATGAAAGTTTATCATGACATAAATCAAGATGATAAACTATATATTTTACTTTACCCCCAAAAGAAACCAATTTCAAGGCTCAAAGCCAATTTTCTCCAAGCGCAAACTATATATATTATGTTTAGGATTTTTCCAACAGAAAATATTTTTGGAAATGAAGAAATTCAGTACTTTGAAAACTATCAAGCGTTAGGTATGAGTAAGACAAAGAAGTGCAAAGGTAAAACATTGTCAAAGTTGTAAGTTCTACGTTCGCTGGTTAATTAATAAAAGCCTTCTTAAAGTAATCAAACAAATACAGCCTGCAGAAGAACTTTTTTCTATCTTAGTTTGCCAACCGTTGAGAAGTCATAGAAGAAAGTGCATCACAAGTCCGCATCTTTGCCATCTAAGAGTCAATGGCGATGAGGACACTTGTCTCTTGTTCGGTTCATTTTCTTATTCATCCGATCCACAATAATTTAGAGCGTTACAGCTATGACTTGTGAGGACCTTTTCTAATAATGTGGTTTTCAAATATGAGATTCGATGTCTCACAAGAAAAGACAGAAAATTAATGACTTAAATATGGATTACAGACGACCAATATATTTGATCTGTGGCTTCTTTTTCTTGTTAAGAGTCAAAGAAAACCCCTTTCGTTGTTATTGTTTTATGATTTGGACGTCTACCAATACAAAAAAGTGATTTCTCTTTGTGTTCCTCCCTTGTATTGTTGAAAGTTTCTCTTGTTCATTGCATGTTCTCATTTTCATACGCTTTCAAACCACACGCCAGTCATTTAGAGCCTAAACTAAAGTTTGAACAATTATGGAGCTTATACTAAACTTTTTGTGTTCAAATAGCTAGGCCGATTCACACACGTACCTCAAACCGTTGTCATACATGTCTTTTTTTTTCTTTACTATCATACACATGTCATTTGTTGCAATGCAACTTAGTAATTAAGAAACAAAAAATATATATATACAAGAAACCAGAAAAGTAAACGAAGAAAGAAAAACAATCATATTAGGATGTGCCATGAATTCATCTCCTTTTTGAAATCCTAAGTAGTCATTCGTCTATCAACTTAAGCCTTGTAATCACTTATTTATGTACGTCGCGAAATCTAAATCATGTTTAGGTTCATAGCATCTAGATACTTAGAGTTTAGATGTATTTGTGACATCATAATAAAATTTTGGCTATAATATGGTCCTAGAAGATAAGTTGAGGGTTTCATTTGATGCCCATTTTGCTTTTTATGTTTTTTTTTTAAAAAAATTTTAATCCCACAATGTAGCTTTTTTTCATGATCGATGCTAATTAACAATTACTGTGGATGTAGTTAATTTGACCACCCCACTATCAATTAATTTTCTCCACCCACAATTGAACGAATCTTTCACGTCGAAAATGCAGAGGGAAATGGAAATGTAGAAAGCAAACGTGAAAAGAATACATGCAGTAGAATTCAACAAGGTAGGGTGATGTTACTTTCAGTGGCTGGATAGGGTGCAAGCGTAGCAATGGCATAATCGCTTATGAGTGTTCAACAGCTCAGTTTACGACTTCCGACCCATTGAATGAATATTTAAGTAAAAGGTTTTCACAATGTCAAAAGTATTTGCAGAAAGTAAATTGGTTGTAAACAATAATTCATGTGAAGTCAATAGCAGCTTGTGATTTAGATTTTAGACTGAGCAATAAGACAATTCAATCGTTTTTTATTTTTATTTTTTAAATTTTGTCCACTTCAAAACTTCCATTATTTGAGGAAACGAACACTGAAAATGTTTGAACTGGTAAAGGTTATTATTAAAGACAAATTGAGGAAATGTTCAGAATCTGAACCCAAGAACCATGAAAGTCTACTGATTTACTTAAAAGGCAACATTACTTTTTTTTAAAAAAATTATTATTTTTGGAAGTAAACTAAACATCAAAACGCCTACTACCAGTGTTAGCAGTTCTTTCTGGACAACAGTACAAAGATTAATTAGATTTTTTTTTTTTTTGGTTTGCTATATGATTTCTTGTGGTACGTACGTAGCACAAGGACAAACAATGAGTAATTAACAAAATCTATTGCAAGCAGGAATAGTGGTTGCTGTAGCAGAAAGGTCAACAGTAAGGTTTAATGCAAACAATCATTTGCATTGAAAAAAGAGAGATATGGGCATTAAAAAGCATGTTTTCTAGCCACCAGACACCAAAATGAGAAAATACCATATTAAGCACGAGGCAGCTACATCTCTCTCTCGAATACGAATAACTCAAAGGTCAATACATGATGTTTTAGTATCAAAATATTTCGATTTGTTTATTCAAATGAGCCAATATCCTGAGCCACAAGTGAGATCATTTTCATAATTGCATAGAAAAAGGCTACATTTCTAGATAAGGTTTTCTAAATTCATAATGCATAAAGTGGTTAAACAGATCCTCAAGTCCTGGATATAGCTAGTACTAGAAGGGTTTGGTACATAAACTAGGTGTGCTTACCTTTTTAATTACAGAACAAAGCTCATCTTAAGTCAAGAATTACGGGCCCAAATCATATTATAACTTAAAATGCGATTCATGTTGATTTCTTCCGGTAGAACCTCCCTCTCCCTCATTTCCCATGTCCATGATGGCGCGAAAAAAGTCATCAATAAATAAAAAAAAAAAAGATTATTTATAGCACCATATGGCCATTTTTCTCTCATTTTCTGAAGCGAACTCAAGAATATGTAAAGAAGCCTAATCCTCGAGCAACCTTCAAAATCCTCGAGAAACCACGTGGCTATTGATGTTTCAAATACATACTAGGGTGCAAGTGTTTCAGGAACATGTGCAGCTAAAAGTAATTAATGGTACTCTGCCCTGAATTTTACCCTACGATGCAATGAGTATTTTATCTGTCACTTCAATTTATTTTCACTTTGTCGACAAGTCAGCTAATCTTCCCCAATCAAGACATGACACCGTGGTATACATAAATTAATCTACGGTCTGAATGACCACTTAGAGATGTAATAATTTATAGGTCCAATGACCACTTAGGGGTCGTTAAATTATAGTATTCAGTTGTGAAGCCAGAGAAAATTGGGCTAGCCGTAATTAGTTGGTCTTTGGTCTTAATATGTTCTAGTTAATCAAGGCGTCTATTTAATAATATTATAATTATGTGACTGAGTAATTAAAATTTTATGAAAATGACATGTCCGCGGGCGATGTCTTCCACAGCCAAACTCCGAGGACTTTACTCTGCCTTGCCAGTTTAAATTATTTGGTCCAAAGGTTCTACTCACCAGTACTATACCATTTCAGCTCGCTACATAAAAGTCTTGAATAAATTGGGAACGACGACTTTCTTGATGCATTATCTGCTTCAACTTTCTACAAAGGAGCGAAATAGTAACGAACCAAACGCCAGAATTTGCCTCCTGAAAACGACTCCTCTCTAGTTTGTATCCTCCAAAGCGGTGAGAATTGAATTGGTTGAATATTTTCATTTTGGGAAAGATCAGTGGTATGATGGCGAAGATCAGGGCATGCATGATTCACATGAAACCAAGAAGGAAAACTCTTCTTTGGATTTGAATCGAATTGATTGATCAGTGGGTACGTACGTATACGTTGAAAGTTAAGTAAGTGTGACATGTAAATTTGTAGCTGATCTTTTTGTTGGTGAGTGAGATTACCTTAGGTAGCTGGTGGTGCTGGTTGGTACTTGTTGAGAAGGACATGGTAGATTAATGATCAAGGACCAGTAAAATGGTTTGCCTGGCGTGTGCAAGGGTGACAGTTCAAAGGTGGCATTGATTAGTCTATGCAAATTGATCACCTGATCATAATAATAACATTAGCTACCTGGAATCTAATAGATGTATCATGGAAGGTGATCATTCTCATCCATCACAATGCAAACTGACCAATTCCCTCATCACTGAATATTTTTTGTTACTTTCAAAAAAAAAAAAAAAAAAATTTGACATGCAGACCGCGCGTGGATTTCGCCATATATGTATATGGTAAACAGTAGTAACCCTAATGAGTCATTTTATTTTTTATTTCCTTTTCGGAGTATAAATTTTGAGGACGTACGTATATGTTTGGTTTTATGCATGGAGATTGAGTGATCTTCTAAAGAATCGATTTGGGACTTTTTCCTTAGAGGTGCTTAACAGAAGATAAATTATATTATCAATTGGAAATTGTCAAAATTTACTGACCTGGCTAGCTATCTCTATCAGTTTGTTATATACTGCTAAATTTTCTAGATCTACTTGCAAGACTTTGATTCTTGAACCAAAAGGAAGAGACTGAGCAAGGTTACATGTAGTGTTTCACTATTTAGAGGTGGAAACTTCCGTCAGCTACTAATTCACCAATACTTTGGCGGAGAAATTTGATTAAACAGGCCTATCCTTTTGACTTGTATATATTCCTTTATAAAATATTCACTTTTTTTAACTGTTGTAAACCCAAGTCTCTCAATAAAAAGCCACTAAGACCACATCATACCGAGTCCAGTTTTTTAGAGAGAGAGAGAGAGAAGAAAGGAAGAGAAGAGGGAGCTTCCTCAGAAGAAGCCAAAGGAGATGCAATAGATATAATAGTACAAGAAAACAAGAGAGAGAGACAAGAGACACATAGAATCAACAAAAAGAAAGAGAGAGAGATGGGAAGGGCTCCTTGCTGTGATAAGGCCAACGTGAAGAAGGGACCCTGGTCACCTGAAGAAGATGCAAAGCTGAAGGAGTTTATAGAGAAATTTGGGACTGGTGGCAACTGGATTGCTCTTCCTCAAAAAGCTGGTAACATTTTATTATTATTCTCAAGCTTCATATGAACATAGTCAAGGAAATGCCTCAAACTTTGTGTGTGTTATTGTCAATGGTGTCTAGTAGTTTGTGATACATTTTCTGAACGCGATTGGCTTGGTTTTGGATCAGGTTTGAAGAGATGTGGGAAGAGCTGCAGGTTGAGATGGCTTAACTATCTTAGGCCAAACATCAAACATGGGGAATTTTCTGATGATGAAGACAGAATAATCTGCAGTTTGTATGCAAGCATTGGAAGCAGGTAGGCATCTAAATCTACTATCACCACCGCTCACGAATATTTGCTGTTTTGAGCAACTATTTTGTCAACCTAAGGCTGTCCCATTTGATCCAAATCCTTCCTATGTTTTCCTAAATTGTTAACTGTTCTCATGACAGAAGAACAGTAAAGTCCAACCAAAAATAGAAAAAATAAGAACCCAATAGAGGAAAAGAGAAGGAAAAGGAAAGAAAAATGTACTCGGAATAGATATTACTAACTTACTACTAGTTATGATATTTCAATTGCAAAGTGTCAAAAGATTCTACCATTTTTGGACAATTCTTGTGCATGCGTGCCAAGCTGAAGTCCACTAGATAGCAATGCTTGTTTGTTAACAACTATAGATGAAAAGTTCAGTGTTTTTTTCTGATGAGAAACTTTTCTTGAAAATTTCCTGTCGAAATAGTTTCTAAAGAACATTTAATAATTATACAGGTGGTCAATTATAGCTGCACAGTTGCCAGGAAGGACAGATAATGATATCAAGAACTACTGGAATACCAAGCTGAAGAAGAAGCTCATGGGGATGATTCCATTAGACCCAAGAAAACTACCCCCATTTTCAAATTCTCTTCATACAACTTCATCACCACAATCTCAAGCTTTTTCTAGCCTGTCTCAACTATATAATGATTGCAGCCCTTATTATTCGACCTCAGCAAAGTCATGTCTCACAGGCTTTGAATCCTTTCCCTCAGTCCAGCCAAATCTGCTGTTCAACGGCAACAACAACAACGTTAATCCTATGGCTACTATTACTGCTGCTAATCATCATTCTTATCTTCAAGGGCACAATCAAGAGGGTTTGATTAGTCCCATGCAGTTTTACCCTGGAAAGGATAATATGCTAATCTTTGGAGGTACTGATCAAGCAAGTTGTTCATCATCTGATGGAAGTTGCAGCCAGATCAGCTATGGAAAGGAGATCAAACAAGAGCATATGAACGGTGGTAGTCTTCATCAGGGTTACAATTTGTCTAACAGTACTAACGGTTATGATCATCATCATCATCAAGAAAACCAAAAATTCATGGTTGACTATGGAAATCAAATCAGTTCAACTACATGGGGTGATGGAAGAGGTAATGATCATGATCAGAAGCCAAGTGTAGTGCTTTGTGGAAACAGTACTAGTACAACTCAACTCCAGTATGATCTTGAGGAAGTTAAGCAACTGATTAGCTCTAGTAACATGAGCTTGTTTTTCAATGATGAAAACAAGACACATGAGAGTAGGGAGGCTATGTACTACTACAACTACTGATCACAACTATTGATAAAAAAGAATCTGAACGGTGTAAGTATTAGCAGTAGTACAAGTACCATCAGTAAGATTTGAAGGAATGTGATGGGAGGGTTGGGGTTTGTGGCGGGGTATTGCGTGGTTGGAGGCAGAGCAGAGATGAATATGATTCAGATGAGACTTGTTTGAGTTGAGTTTATTGGGGTTTGTGTGTATTGATGGAAATCAATGGAAAAAAAAAAGTTCTATTTCTTTTTTGACAGTACGGGGGCAAAGCCTTTCTTTTTGTGCATTGCTTTTTGGGTATTGATGATGTGTTTGTGTTTGTACGGTTTCTCCTCAAACATCACTGCTACTAATCCTACTGCAAAAACAACAACCCCCCACATCCAGTCAGAACTCAGACATAAATGTTGCCCTTTATGTTTCTAGCACTAGCAGCAGCATGAGAGAAATTGTCATCATTATTCTAGTAACAATCCACCATGCAACAGTGATCCCTCACTGAAACAAATAGTAGTCGTTGTAGTTTATCCGTAAATATCTTCATGCTGTCAAATCATTTTTTAAGTCTTTCTTTTTCTTCTTTTGTGTGGTTTTTGTTTATTGTCCGTAACTGAGGCACTCTGGTTCCTCCAAAAAAAAAAAAAAGCACTTTTATCTTTTATTTTCAACCTTGCTTTGGTTTATACTTTATAGAAAGAACCTGCGTTGCGTAAGACTGTAATGGTTGCAAGAATTGCTAATACAAAATTATATAAACGTACCGCCTTTTAGGTATATATATACATACTCGTTTAGTCCATTAGAAAAGTGTTGTTTGAAAGAGTCAGAACCAGACTAAATAAGAAAATAATAGGTCCTTTGTAACAACAATAATATACTTCAAATACTACTTCTATTTTGGAACAGAAAATGACCAGTCTCTCAATTTTTAAATCTCTAGTCTCGCATATACAAATATAATACATAAAATGTTGTGGAACAGGCATCTACCTCTGTACGTGCATGTGAATTTCTATGAATAATCCAAAAGCAATCCCAATAAACAAATTTGGAACAAAGATTGCTGTTGTTGATTCCCACGCAGATCACGGAACGGAACCAAGCAGTCGGCCACAGCTAATTACATGGTCCCAAAGGATTAAGACTTGGAAATTGCCGATTGGGTTGATTGGTTGATCATTGACCATTGTTTTTGTGATCATCAACCAAATGGGGGTCCCAAATAGAGTTGACCCTTGTTTAGCATTATCAGCTTAGGTAAGCTAAACATTGGTCTAGCCACACATTCCCAGTTGGATAATTATCTATTTTAGGGACAATTAATGATTTCTTGTTAGACAGATTAAAGTAAACCCCTACCCTCCCTATAATTTTTGCAATTTCTTCTTGACTAAAAGGCAAGTCAGTCAAGCTAAATACTCGAAAAGTGCCAATCATATTCGAAAATTTGTGTTCATGTTTGCATCAAGAAAGTTGTGCATTTATTTCACTTGACTTTCTAGTGCCCAAAACAGTTATCGAAGTAGACTTTTCTTTTACTAGGAACATGCATTTGAGAAGTCCGTAATTGGACTGCGGTGTTGAATCTCTTTAGAAGAAGAAGCCAGAAAGTTCAAATTGACAATAATATGTTGGCCAGCTAATTAGGACTGTCAAATGATACATGTGCATGTCAATCTTAACTTCTGCACCGCTCTTGCACTTTACATCTAACCCTTTTTTTTTTTCTTTTTTTGATGATATATGCATATTTTACTGTTAGAGAAAAGGAGCGAATTGGATGGTTTTGTTAGTTTTAGCAAATTCGTAAGCTCCCATTATTTCTCCAGCTAATATCAGATGTGCAATTAATGGTTATGTAGCAATTTATGGGTTTCAGTTTGTCTCGAGGTTTATTAACTTTTTTTTTCTTGTCAAATTCAAGCAAGTGAACAGTTACCTAAATAGTTTTCAGTCGAGGCACCAACAAGAATAGTGAAAGGTGATGAATACTAAAAAACGGATATGAAAGAAGGGAAATAGAAGTGAAAGTTGCTGATGTTACAAGATACGTCCTTGACCAAGCAAATCTGCATGGTCCAATTATCCATTTCCACATAACACGCACGTTCGATCGGCTCGAGCATCTAGTTTTTCGAGTTTGAGTGTTTGAGTAGGCGAGTTATATGTTAGGCAGAAATGTATAGGAAGAATTTCTTTTATTTTCTTCTTCCTTTACTTATAGGAGACGGGTCTTTGATAAAATTAGACAAGATTTTACTTTCTTTAAATTGATTTAAGGTTCTGGTTTGACCACGCGACAAGACCTGAAAACAAGAGATGTTTTTGGATTGATCAGAAAATGACCAGATTTTTTGTGGTCAGAGACATTCATAGTTGTCTCATTAGAGAAACTTCAAAATTAGCAGTGAGTGAGAGAATTAAAAAAAGAAGCAGATTCTTGTTTTTTTTTTTTCCCGTCTTTCTTCTTTTGGGGGTGGGTGTTGGTACGATTGCAACTGCTCGATACAACACTACAGAAATTTACAGTTTTCACTCCAGAAAATACGTGATTGTTTAGCCTTTTTTTGGATTACATATAGGTTTTGAATCTCACCATCAATTACCGAAACTCACACACTCAATCCCATAAACAAAATTTTGTTACCCTTCACCCTCTCTCTAATGCTAATTCTCTTCTCGTTCTCATTAAAAATTCCTCCAACCAAAACTTTCTCCGACTCTCCCTAAGAGAGAGATTAGATTTATCTGGTCTTTTCCCACAGCAACAACACACACACTCTCTCTCTACTTTCTTTTTCATTTGTTCGAATAAAGTATCTCCTAGTCGTTGGAATAAAGTCTCTCTTAGGGTGTCGCTAAGAGTTTTTTCTGACCTAGAATTCTTTAATGAGGGTTTTTTCTTCCTTAATTCTTGAATTCTTCCAGTGAAAATTTTGTTGTCTTTTAAGATTTTTTTGTGAGAGTTTTTTTTCTATCATTTTTTTTGTACAGGAACTGAGATTTTGAGATTTTACATATCTGATTTCACAAATCTAAATTTCTCATAGTCAAATCTAAATTTCATTTTGACCTTGAAATAAATTTTTTTAATTAGATCTTACTATTAGAAAACATGCATAGATCTTTAAGTTACAGCAATTCATATGGGCTGAAAAAATTTTAGAACCTTATGATTTTCATATCTATATACCCCCGTGACATATTGATGCATTTTCTAGCATTAGTGTAGATTCATGACAATAAAATTATGTCTTTTATAAAGAAAAAATCCAATAAACAAACAAAAATTATATGAGTGGGGTTGTTGGTGAATATCATTTCATGTATGCTCTCAATTTGAAGTTTGTTTCGAGTTAAATTCATTCTTTCCTTCTTCTTCTTCTTTTTTCCTTTTTTAATGTTCTTGCAAGTATGCTCTCAATTTGAAGCCCTTAAAAGTCATCTGAGTTGTCTTGTATCAATGTGTTCCAAGGTGTTGGATACTCATAACCTACGTCAAGTGTTAACTAATAAAACACATAAAATGGTGTAAGGAATCCTACTTTGTTGCTGAATACATTTATATGTATTCCATTAGTAATGAGACCAATATTGTAAAAGTACTAGAGAGATTGAGACTAGATGAAAATTCAATTAATTAGAAGAAAGATTATACTAACTCTGAGGAGAGGAAGTATTTTGGCATGGGTGAGGACTAGTAAGAAGTAAAGCAGCAACAAAATTGATCAAAAAGTAAAAAAAGAAATGCAAGCTTTATTAATGAGACAATGACTTCAAGTCTTAAAACGTCAAAATCCTAAATGTGAGCAAACAACAGATAATGATAAAAAGATACAGACATCTTCAATTGATTTTGTGCCAAAGTGATCAGAATCCTCGTTGGGAAGAAGCCCAAATGGTCCAAAATTACACGAACACAACATCTGACGTCAGTTCCTCCTCCCCTGCCACGGCCACCTGCAGATATTTGATTAATATGAATGGAGTCCCAACTTTTCCATGTGCAAATGCTCAAGTAACTTGTACTCTACCAAGATTGAATGCCCGACTGCAACTTGTTTAAAGGGTTAAACTGAAAAGTAAATTTCGATGCCAAGATCTTATAGACAAATCATGGAAATGCCAAAACAATTTCCTGATATTTGTTTCTGTGATTTCTAATCCTTGTGGTAGTAAATGTGATCATTAGTCTTCTTCTATCTATCATAGTACAGGCAGAAGTCGAGGATTGAAAAATTTAAGACCATCAGCATCTCTTCTCCGTGCTCAATGTTTCCCATTATTAAAACAAAACTGTAAATATAATACAAGAACTCCCTCGCATTGTCACTTGTCATCTAGAAGTTTGCTAATTTTTTCACGTCAAAATCAAATCGCTACGGTATGTTTTTTTTTAAAAATTTTATAAAATAGCAATGCAAACAGAAGTATTATTCGTTGAACGTACATTTGAAAGTCCCAACTCAACTTGTAACATGTCTAAATCCTAGATTTTACACTACAGAAGAAAGACCTACTGAAGTTCCCACGGTTTAGGTGCCTGCCAACCCACTTGGTCAGATTGCAACACACCCATGTTTATGTCTGGGTTTCCCAAAGCCAAACTAGCTATCAACGTTGGAGTTTAATAGTACGACCTTCTTGTTGTTGAGGAAAAGTTCACCTTATAAAGATCTGTACATCTTATTCTCCAAACGTTAACTATCATACTAGCGTGTCTTTTCTTAACTCTTTAAACAATTGCAACTTTGCAACCCATTTTATATTATTCATCGAAAAAAAAGCAGAGGGAAAATAATAATAATAATAACAATAATAATACACGTGTTGACAGCCCAAATGAGCTCTAGAGAATGCAAGACACAAACAAAAATGTACAATGGTCCTCCTCCTAAGGGTAAATTAGTGGGCTGCTGCTGCTGCTATTGCCATTTGCCAGCTATAGTCTTAGTTGTTTAATCCCGTCGCTTGTCTTTTAGCTGTGGCTGTGGGGAAGGGAAGAGCTTCTTTTCTAGGAAAGTCTTTTCGAGTGAAATTGTGAGAAAGGTCAAAAAGTATGGAACCTTACTGACTGGCACCTGAAGTATGTAAATACTAAAATCCAAAATATTCATTAACAGTTTTCCCTTTGGATAATGATATGCTGTCTTGACATTGAATTTTTTTTAACCAAAAAAAAAAAAAAGGGCCCGACGGATAATAACTTTACAAGTTTGCCTAAAGAAACAAGCATAAAATTTCCTACATATCCCTGAAGCTTCAGCTTCTGGCTATTCATATTTTAATAGAAATGTAGGATTCTTCTTAGATCTCTTTCTTCAAGTGAATTGAATACTAGTAGGATCACATGGACCATTTCCTCTGAACATTAGTACTGCTACTACATCGAGGAATCCTCCGTTGTATCTCTTTCCTTTTTCTTTTGTTGGCTACAACTGAAAAGGCAAAGAGACCTTCCAAAAGGGCAAGTGAGAAGTCAGGTAGTACTAGTTTTTTTGGCTTTGTATTTAATTTTATTGCTACTGCCGACAGTTTTTACTACCCTTAAAGGTCAAATGATGTGATGAGGTCTCTAGCCTCTAATTCTCTTCCACTGAGAATTCAGCTGGAGAGAGTTATTATTGTGGTTGAAGTTTTCTCCAAATCCGAGAGTGTGGAATGTCATGACAATATGCCTCTTCTTATCGCTAGGGAGTTGATGGTGATGACCAGAGAGTTATTTATTGTCTCGAGAAATATGACCCTGTCCAACTTCGCAGCTTTTATACGAAAGAATTACACAGGGAACCAGTGTCCTCCAACCTACTTTTAGCCAGAGATTGGTTCCGCAAAACCTAACAAGATCAAGGAGAACCTCTTACATCCTTCCTCTTCCTCGTTAACTTCTACATTTCTGTCTCTCTCACCTTTTACCTTTCTTCTTCTTTTTTTTCCCCTTTTGTTCTTTTTGTGGTTTGCAAAGAGATGGATGGATTAAGTAAAATTAAACTTTGCGGAATCTTCCGTCTCTTTTCTGTTCCACTCCCTTGCCATGTTCGTGAAAAATGATTCTAAGAAATATTCGATATCTCATGCTAGGTTTGAAAAATTAACATTAATATTTCCAACTCGAAATCCAAAATTAACATTTAGTGGAATATACAAGCTACTTCTAGAGTAGTTGACCACCAGAGAGAGTTTAAAAACTTTTTTTGGGTGTAGGTCAAAAGATCGAATCCTTCGACCTATATTCTTGTCTAGAATTTCCTGAAAATTTCACCAGCGAGTGCCATTACACCCGTCTGGTCCGGTGGCATTCCAATCCTAATGAAACAACTATATTTTGAATAATTTCGGAGAGAATCTCAAATTCGCCATATGCCACTCTTAGGCTAACCAGCATGTAATGACATAAATCCGTTTCAATGGTAAAGGAAGAACAAAACACAGCTCACAATAAATAAAATAAAATAAAAACGCAGCCCATATGCAAAATACGGCAGGGGTTTAATAAAAAAGGGCCAGCTGACGGAGGCAGCTGCTGGATTTTGAAATCATGATATTCAAATAATATGCTTCGCGTTGTGAAAGAAGCGTAACATATTCTATCCAAAGTAAGGACACAACGTCTCTGCTTCCCCTGAATCTTGATTTGTTCATTAGCTCATGAAGCTCACAACAGATTCCAAGTTCATACAAGCAAGACACCAGCTAATGTTGAAAACCAAATGCTAGTACAACTACAGCTCAAAACAGTTTACTGCGCCTCTAAGAATTATAAATCAGCAAGACGAAACAGTACATTCATGAAATAAACACGATGAACAATATCCTTCCTCAAAGTTATCTTCGCGTTTTGGAGATCACTGGAATCCAGACCAGTAGATTCTGCCCTCCTGCATCAAAATTAAATTTTACTCCAAAAACCTCCCTATTAGATAAACATACAAACTAGTCATGTTCCACTCTACTGCCCCTGGCGGACAAAGCCCTGAAAACAATTCTGTGGAAATTCACCAAACAAAATTGCCAGCCAGTTAGTTATTTAGTTAAAATATTTCGAAAAACAGAGAGCAAAATGTGAAGAGTTAGTTATTTAATCGATGAATTGAAAGGGGTAAACTGTGAAGCACGAGATCAGCAATTTAGTGCCAAAAACTTGATTGGAAAGTTTGAAAGGGATAATCTGACTTAAAACCAAAATCATCATATGGCATACAAGACTCTTGATATACAGACACTGAATAACAGAATCAAGTTCAGAAGACTGCTGGAAAAGACTAAATAAACATGCTGGGCAACGACGACAGACATTCATGTTATTGACCATGGAATGCCTAATATCATCAATATACCTATTTTTACTACAAAACAACACATGATGCAGCATGATAGGCAATATCAACTTGTATCAGAATTCAGAACATAGCAAAAACACTCTTACCTGCAATACAAGCAAGTCCATTACTATATCAAGCAGCATCAGCAGCCACTCCTCCAATTGTTTTGGTATCAAATATTTCAATCCAATAGCCATCAGGATCTTTAATGAATGCTATCCCCTTCATTTTTCCTGTAACCAGTGGCCAATTTAGACAAGAAGCTAGAGTATTTCACAAGATAGAACTAAAAATGCTTAGACAAATCACGCAGAAGTAAAGAAATTTAGAGGTATTGTTGCTTTGAACTTTCAATATAATGTTGATGTACTTTAAACATATTGAACAAAAGAACAAGGATTGACACAAGTGCCCTCTAAACTCTAAAGTGAGAGGAATTGATACTAAAATGTCCTCTAAGATGACATTTATCCACACTTCCCCATGAGGAAACCATTCACAACCATCGGTAGTTTAACTACCCCTCCCCCTGGGACCCCTTCCATCTAGTGGATGAATAAGATGTGTAACAACATGAATGAAAAGCCTGTTCAGCAATAAAGGAGATTTATCAATATGCTATGTTTCTTATCACGTCAAGTTATTTCATCAGGCCTATGCTTTACTCTTCTTCATAGTTTGGAAATGCCCCAGATCCACTTCCTCTCTTTCTTCACCTTCTATTTTACATCCTAACCCACTTTCAAGGACCTGCTCCTCATGAAATTTGGATCTTGAAACCAACGAAACCCAGTCATGGAATGCGTCCGAATAAAAGAAGAGAGGGAAAGAGAGAAAAGGAGACAAGAGGCTAGACATGCACTGCAAAGACGCATCTAAGGTTGCATTCTCTCAAAAATTTGGATAGAGTGACCATGCCTGAAGTGAGCAGAGAGCAAAAGTTTTTCCTTATTTTTTTACGCAAAGCACAAAAGTAAGAGGTCAATGGTAACTACAATCCAAAAGTCATTTTTTCTTCATGGCAACTGATATCCAGGAAAAATATTACTTAGTCTAGACTCAAACAGGTCAAGAAGTTTGTTATCTATAACCTGCTGATGGCACTTGATCAGGATGCAACCTTCTATAAGGAAAAATGGGCAAAAAGAATTCATGTAACTTGTCCACGACACAGAGTTTGTTGTCCTGTAAATTCTTCCTAGCAAGACATGCAAACAGTCCAGTATACAAGAATTGAAAGTACAGATACATCATGCAATACACAAAAGGTTATACAAGTTCATTGTAAAGAAGGGAAGAAAAAAAGATTTAGTTTCTTGATGATGCTAAATATGCACTAAATAGCCAAATGCTGAGTTCTTGTCATCTATCCAACAATTTCATGTTAAAGGAAACATGGCTTTTTAAGAACTCAAATTCCCCTTAATTTCTTGTCATATCAAGTTAAGCACTTAGAGTAGATAAGTCACTTCCTGCTCTCACTCCATATGTCCAACTTCAAAAATCATATAAGGATTTTCATCTGATTCTAAGTAAATTTCTTGTCCCTTCTAAGGTTTCACATATTTCAGAGGAAGGAATATTCTAGTGAACAAATACTTTCTGTGCAAATATGGATGCATGACCTCAAGATACAAGATCCATGAACTGAAAAATTCACGTGGTAGCATTTAGTGAGTCGTTTCTTACGACATGGCATCTCATAACATGAAGACATTCCTTAAAGCACATTCACATGTATTTGCCAACATTCTGGAAGTACAAAATTTTATACTGAAACTGAATACATATGAGGACATAATTACCATCATCAGGTTTTTTTACGAACTCCACTCCTAATCTTTCAAATCTCTGGCACGCCTTGTAAGTGTCGTCCACTGTGATGCCTATATGTCCTGCAGAAAATGACCCAAGTTATGACCAATGATAATGAAAGTAAACATCTACCAACTGCAATTCCCCAAAAAGCCACAACTTGTTCTCATTGTTTAAATTGAAGAACTGTTACTACAGGTCTTTTCTTCTAACTTTTTTCAGCCAAAAGTACACAGGTACAGATGCAACTTTACATCACTCCACATAACAACTTAAACCAATTGCACATGACATTTAAAGTACCAATCTAAAGACAAGGAATGAAGGCAAAACCTCACATCCACAAGACAAAAAGTGAGCAATTGAGAAAGAAATAAGCCCATCAAAGTAATTATTGATTTACTACTCACCAAACCCACGAGGGTCGGAATTTCCATTATGATAACCTTTAAAATCAGGATCCTTTTCCGTACCCCAGTTACTGTAATGCAAACAATGAATGTCAAATATCATTCTCATAAAAAAGGTGAAGCAGGAAATGAGTTTCCAAGTAGAAACCCACCCCCCAAAAAAATATGAGAGAGAGGGGGGGGGGTAATCCTTACTGAGTAAGCTCTATCGTGGCTTTCCGTCCAAAGGTCCAAGAAGTACGTTCAACTGGATCACTTGGAGCAGATGACGTATCCTAGAGAGCAGGATAGAGAATAGATGATGGAAGAGATGTAAATCATAAGTTTCAAGTCTTTTAACATCTATACTTCAGAACAAACAGTGAACAAGAAGTCCATGCCAAACAAAAAATGCAACTGAAGGTGATCGAGTTCTTCTATAAGTAAATTTCGAGCTGCACCTCATATCCCAAAAAGTATAAGCTAAACTGCATATCTGGAAAATCCAACCTCTTAAGTAACCTGCGATTCAGAAAGAACAACAGAAAGCACAACAAGAAACAACTGCAATGTCAATTAAACTTGACAAAATGGAATTTTTAGGAAAGGTTAAGCCATTTTAAGACTTCAAATGTATCCAAATAAATGCAGAAGGAAGAGCTTGTGGAGAATCATATCCTTTGTCAAAAATGTATAAGAACAACTTTCTGATAACAGGAGCTCTGGTTTCAGCCCCAGGCACATCTAGAATTACAACGGTGGATCATTCTAGCAACTAATCAAGTAAGTCATTTCACCATCCATATTACACATTATCTCTACGTCCCGTGAGATTGTCTAGTCTCGGAAAAAGAATTACACTAACACTAAGAGAGCATATCAAAATTGTACTTGTAAACTACCACAAGATAATCACTAAATTAATCACCTAAAGCTCTGAAGTTAGCAAAAGGTTAAGCATATCACTTTAACTAAATGAATAAGATCAAATTCCCAAATTGACCAAGATTAACAAGAAGAGAATAAGAAGCACTCACGACATGCCCAACACTTCAGAGTAGAACTTCAAACTAGCTTCTGGGTCCTTAATTCGATACATCTGAAAAGCCAAAAGAGATGCAGGGGGAAAAAATGAAAAAGACACAAGGGTTATTAAAGAGATACTTAATCAAATTTGACGGTATAGATTACCGCAGTAATACATGATCATGGAAAATGAAATGAACTGAGATCAAAAGCTTACAGTTTGTTGCAAGATGTAACCTTTGGTGGCGTCATCAAGGTTGGTATTGAGTCCGGGATTGTTGGCGGGTGATTCCTTGGACCCTGATGAAGCCATTACTTGTGATGCTATGAATTTGGGAAAATTAGGAACCTGCAGACAGAATTACCATTTAAAAAAGCTCGAGCAAATGGATGGTATTAAGAGTATCAAAACAGCGATTTTTTTAATAATCATTGATGCCTACTATTAAAGAAAAGAAAAGGGGTGGTGGGAAGTTGGGACCTTTGGCTTAGTTATTATGGGGAAAGGGGAGATGGAAGAAGACGGGATTTTAGATACAGGACATTTGGTAATGAGAATGGTTGATCGAAGAATTTGAGAGATGGCGGTTTTAGTGAGTGAAGCGGCCATTTGTTGCGACAATTGAGTACATCACTCTGGGACTCTGTGCAAATGGAAGCGACATAAACGAGATGAGTCATGAGTGAGTGTACCTGGTGAAGTTTTAGGAGAGACAAAAGCAGCTTCAATTTTCGGATAACTTCTGTGATTTTGTGAACTATATATACACCCAAGCAGTCAGCAGCACAAAGCGGTTTATGGAGATAACAATGGGTTTAACCAAATGCCCCTTGGGCTTATTAACGATAACCACCGTTGACCCAACAAATTGTTTGGATACAAGAAAAACAAAAAACCTCCATTACAAATACACTGTTCAATCTGGTTCACAACGAGGTCTGACGCTTAAACATTTTCCTAATGGGCTGTATATTTTCTTTTTTCTTTTTTTTTTAAAAAAGGTGGTGGATGTAACCAAGAAGTTTTCCTCTAATTGGCCCATAAAAGTAAAAGAAGCTGACAGCCACCTTTGGCTTTGTATAATGAGAGCTGTCTGAGGTTGGGGAGAGTCAATGCATGGTGGCATGGGGCGGAGCCGCAAGTGTCGTCATGCACGGCTGGATGGACGGAACCACGTGTACTGAAGAGGGGGGCAACATGTATCATGCATGGTGGCATGGCCGGAACCGCATATATTTAAGTGGGGGCAATTAAATTTGAGAAAATTAATTTTTAGGTTTAGAAAATTTTAAAATTACCCTTATTTATCCCCACTAAAATTTAATACATTCTACTTTATAATCTACGTTGACCTCCAAATAATTAGAAATTCATAATTATTACTATATGCTAGAATTTTGGATCTCCTTGAATTCAATTGTGGAAGTTATTTTAAAATAAATTCTTTCAAAATTTTCAAATTCAAACAGAAAAAATGATTTTGACTTCTAAATTTAAGAATATTATGAACTTCAAAACTTATTAAACTTAAAAATGAGAGAGAGATTATATGTTTAACAAAAGCATCGATTAACTTTAAATATACTATTACGTCATTTTATGTAATAATGAAAATTGATCCCGTTACCGTAGGATCTTGGCTCCATCACTACATGGTGGTTGATCTCCTCACTCTATGATCTTGGCTTCGCCACTACATGGTGGTAGGCATAATACAATTTTTGTGATCAATGGTCAGTAGTTACTAAGGTGTTGGAACTAGCTGGGGGTTAGATATCTTGATTATGGACAACTTAACATCCTACTCGTGCGTTAGACATATTATTCAAATGATGGCTTGAAATCGTCTGTCTCGTTTTCAATTTTGTCCCGTCTCTGTTTAACTGCTATGTGTATTAATTAATAACTTTTAGAATTTTATTATAGTATTATATTGAGGATAAGTCTAATAGTACAATACACAAGGTAGTTAAATAAAAATGAGACAGACGGAACAGAAACAAAATTTGAAATAGATGATTTGAAGGGTCAAAAACGATAGACAACTTAATATTGGACTCCTTTATTTTAGTTAGACATCTTGTTCAAATTATTTACAATTTTTGGAACTTAGGTTCCGTTTGATAAAACTGAATCTGAATTCTGAAGTCTGAATTCTGAAAAATGAATACTGAAACAATTAATTTGCTGAATTTTAAACACTGAAAAAAATATATGAATGTCTGAATTTTAATGCTAAACCTATTTATACTGTTTGATAAATATTTATAGCTGAATGCTTAATAAGTTTAAATTGATAATTTTGCCTTTATATCCTTTCATTCAAAAAAGAAATAGAATCTATGATTTAATTAGTTTAAAATTGTAAGGTATGAAAATGACAATATTTATTTTTAAATCAAATTAATATAAATGATGAAATATATTATATGAGGAGTATGGAGAAGATATGAAAGTCATTAAAAAGGGAGAAAAGAGAAACTAAAAATCGTTAGATAGAGAATATTAGGTTGTTTAATTAAATAAGAATTTTGAACATAATTAACAAATAAGGGTAGATTTGGTAGATAAGATAAGATAGTTGAAGTAATTCTATTGATTCTTATCAGAATTAAGCATTCAGTTAGGATTCTTGTGCTGAAAAAAATACACACAGGTTCAGCACTGCTTAACAAGTTCAGCAGATAGATTTTCATTTATCAAACACTCAAAACATCTGAATGTCTGAAAAAATTCAGATTCAGCACTTTTTTATGTTATCAAACAGGCCCTTAGATAGGCCCAAGTAAAAGGGCCATCTCGCCTAAGGATGGCAATGGGGTGGGATTGAGGCGAGGGACCCCTCCTCCACCCCCCCGCCCCGCTACCTACAAATTCTCCCCCGCCCCCACCCCTCACCCCCCGCTCCCCCCGTCCCGACCCCGCCCCTTCTCGCTTACCCCACGGGGGCACCCGCGGGCTAATAAAAATTTGTTATATAATTTTATTATAGTTAAATTTTAGCAAATAATCAAGTACTAAAATATCAACACATCACTAAATTATTATTCATTGTAATTTCAAAATTGAAACTTATAAAAACAATCAAACAAAAATTATTTGAATACAATCCAACATGATGAAATAAATACAACCAAAGTAGTCAAGTTTTTACTTTTGGCACAAATACAATCACTAATTCATTATTGTGCTTGTGTTTTTTTTTTTTTGAGAAAAAATGTTATTGTATTAAGTGTAATTAGGGATTTAGTATAAATGTATTAGTAAATTTAATATAACTAATTAATAATTTCTATTAGTAGTCATATATAATTATTAGTATAATTGATAATATCAATTATATTACATATACTAATATATATTATATAATACATATAACTAATAATATTATTATCATAAGTTTGTAACTAATTAAATTAAATATTATATAATTTAATTAATCTCACCTACCCCCTGCCCCAATAGCCCCCTGCGCCAGCCGCCTCCATTGCCATCCTTAATCTCACCTACATCCTATTGTCCTTAGGCAGATCGATAATTTACTCCAACTCGCCCATAATTTAGAGTTCAGTCCACTAGCCTAATCATTGCTGGAATAAAAGATAGAGTAAATTATATATATATTGTCAGTATATACACTATCATGATTAGATGGATAATACATTAGTAAATTTTGAATACCACAAACCAAAAACCATTGACAGATCTTATTCATTGTCAAAAATTGCTCCGAGTCATCCGACACGTCAAATTTTGAATACCACGCTATGCTAATATGGGTGGCTTAAGCCTGATCTTGTTTAGGCTAGCTAATGCTTTGATTCTTTTGGACCCATAGTTGATATTAACAGTTCCAGGATCCTACAGGTAAGGTGAACTTGGAAACTACATGATGTTCCAATATGGCACTACGAAGAGGATTTCGAATGCAGGCTATTGAAGCCCGTGATGGCTTGTTTTGCAACCGAAGCAGATTCAAGACCTGATATCGAACATATCATGCTCAATTTGATCAACATCATTAGTGGTTGGGTGTACTCCCATTACTTTTTTTTTTAATCAATAATCGAAGGAGAAGGGGAATTTTGGAATAGCATTTCCACTGTAATTTTTTTTATTGCAATTGTGTTTGTATGGTATAGTAACAAACTACAAAGACATTATGAGAGGTCAAAATTCTTGTCCAGCTTCTAATGAACGCCATTAAAGAAAAGGAAGAGAACCAATGTTCAATGATACAGTTGACATGATTTGTTGTAAGTTCTAAGTAATTTGAACAAGTCAATAGGTTACAGATACAATTTCAAAAGCTCTAAGTTCACTGAAATTTTGCTGCATAATCAACGCTGTGAGCATTAACAAAGGACTTATAGTTGTAGAACAGAGGAACAAAAAATCATCATCAATTTTTCTTTGTTTTTTTTTTTATTATGGTAGCCTCGCCACGTTCTGATGCACTTTCATTTATATCTCCAGATTGTTCCAATCTTGCATCAAGGCGAATTCACACCTTTGATAAAGAAACTTGGTTAACAACAGATGATTGCGAAACATCAACGAATGTAATAAATTAAGAACTCGTAGCTGCAAAAGCTTTGTTCAATGTATACGAACTTGGTGTTGCAACTGTTGGGACACTATTGCCAAGAATAGTAGGTGGATTGACAAGAATAATTGAGTCATTCCCTGTTGACAAAGCAATTCCTAGCAAAGAAAAAGTTGGATGAAAACTAAGATGTGGTCAGATGAACTCAGATTGATAATTAGATGAAATCGTCATCGAACTCCAAAATTAGTTAATGGTTATAAATTTTGAGTACAATGCATTTATTTATTTTTCTCAATTTGCCTAATACTAGCTGTCAAATGCAAATGCTTTCTGTTTTTCCTTAGTTTGGCAATTTAAATTTTAATAAACCAATAAAAAAAAGATGAAACATCAATTGTTTATATCTAATGTATTGTCTATATCAATTGTGAGGTGCCAAACCTCACGTTTGAGACACCAATTTTCTTTTTTTTTTTTTGGGATTTTGTGGGTTGAAAATTTAAAGTGATTTCGCATTTAATCTACCACCTCACCAAAGAGCACTCCTTTTCATCCAAGATAAGTGTTGCCTCCATTAAATGGTGAAAGAATTAGCAGTGAGGAGAGCTAAATGGTTATCTGTAGCCAGGAAGGGTCCTCTTAGTCAAGCATACCATCTTTTGTGTTGAAGGATTAATATTCTCATGCAGCTTATTTCTAACGATAGTCATCAAATTTGCAAAACATTTTGTACTTTAAATTATTACAATCTTTAATATAATATATGTGTTTACATACTCTATTTTCCACTTCCAATAATTAAACTAATTAAACTTGTAATTCGACTTTCTTTTACATTCAATTGGACATGCTAAACACCATTACCAGCGCGCGTCGCGCTATTTATACCTCCTAGTTTTAAAACAAGAATTGATCACTATAGGACTGACTCAGTCTGGTAGAGGACAAGATTTATAAAAAAACATATGTTGTCAAGTTCTTTTTTTTTTTTGCAGCATCTAACTTTACAAATATGTATATATATATTTCTCCCTACTCTACTGAGTCAACACGACAGTATAGTTTTATGAAACCTCTTGTTAGACTAACAATTGGTCGACTTTTTTTTTCATTGATAATCTAAGAAATTAGCCACTTTGAAGAGTGTGGGATTCTTCATTGAGAAAAGAAAGGGAAGATT